TATATATATACTTTTAGAAATTTACTAGTAGCCGACATTCAATATATCCTTTTGATCATTTTTACCAGCAAATTAGAGATTGGATTTTGCTGTGCATCGCACGGGTCTCTACTAGTTTTAGTAAAAACTAAAAAGTTGAGTATTGGTGTTAGTGTATTCCTATTTCCCAAATCCCAACCAAAACAAGAAATCAAGTGATTTTGCATATTGAATCAGTATTAAGAAGGTTTCAGCTAAAACCCTGTGGGGTGGGGTTTCATATTTATGAATTTTTGGTTTATGCTGTATTGTAAGCGAGCAAATCCCTACTTTGCCGTACCAATCCGCCATAACCTGACAAATCCAGATATGTATTTGGTTGAGGGATATGAACGAACACCTTTTGGCTTGGGCTGAGTATGGCCCTCGAACTGCAGACAAATCCCCCCATGAGGTGCAAGGAAGTAATACAGAGTGGATTCTGGCCCAACCCATGTTATCCATCCATTTCACTTTGGGTTAGACTATGATGCCGAACAGACATGATTTTCCCACTTTGAAGTTGAAAGTGGGTTGAAGAGAATTATGGGAAGAGGATGATGCATCGGAATGGTCGTTATCACAATATCAGTTAGGCTTCTGAGTTGAATATGTATGATCTCGTTGACGAGTTAATAAAATATAACATGTCATGTTTTGTCAGCTTTAGTTGGGCCCTGTGTGATGCACCAACATTGTCAAGAAAAATTGAAGTAAAAGGAACTATATAACATATCAGATAGGTGTATCATATCCTATCTTTACTTCATTGATATAAGTTATATAAATAGTTTGATAATTTTAAAGTTTTAGATGAAATGGATGATGTGGTAGGTTCTTCTCAATTTTCAAAAAAAAAAAAAAAAGAAAAAAAATTTTGATCAAATAAAACTTTACTTATCAAGAGAATATATAGATACTGAGAAGTGAGAACCATGATTTGGTTTAGTTCATTGAATCTCAAATAAGTTGTAACGAGAGCACCAAATTTCCTATGTTGTATTGATTAATTATTAGATTCACCTAAATTACCAAACTTATGAAATTGGTTTATCTAAAATTGCCCAAATTATTTCCCAAATAACCAGAATACAATAATTAAATTATAAAAAATTACCAGCATTTATTTACCAAAAAATAATTTTTTTAATGAAAATTAATATACCAAATTACCAAAGTTAATATAATAAAATGAATGACAAGTTTAATTTTCCATATAACAAAATTAACCACCAAAATTAACAAAATAAATGTACAAAAATTACCAAAATTATTTCACTTTTGGAAATTAATAATTCACCAAAATAAAAAAATACTAAAATTAATAAATTAATAATTTCCCATAATTACCAAAATTATTCATTATTTTTGGTTAATTGTTAATTTACCAAAATAAATCAAAATTTACAGTTAAATATTATGTCATTTTCTTGACCCAAAATATTGCTACAGTGTTCGCCCAACAATGAGACCACAAATAACGTCTCAGACCCTCAATATCAAGGGCTCGCATCTTGTTAAACCTCTTGTTCATGGGAAGCATGACAAACATACCATTTTATTGAATTAATGGGGATTTAATGGGATTGTTCCGTTAACAATAGTCCATCCAATTGAACCGGCCCGGCCACTATATCACAAAAAACAATAAAACCCAAACATTTGAAATCTCCTCCACACTGTCTCTGAGTATGCTGTGACCAGACCACGGGTGATTACATGACATTTGGTGTTAAAAATCAACCGACGACCGGGAACCAAAGACCAGCGGTAAGTTCTCTTCTTCACTTTCTCTTCATCTCTCATCCTTCTTCTTCTTCTTCCCTTTTTCTTTAAATTTGGCTTGAAAATTAGATAGGAAGGCTCATAGAATGTTGTTTTCGAGTACAACATTAAAATTATTATTACTTTATTTATTAATAGTACCTAATATTCTAATTAGGCGTATTCACTGATCGGGTTGGGTCGGTTTGAGTCATTTTTTTCAATTGACTTGACCTAGTTGGTTTACTTATTGACTAAATCGAAACCGATCGACCCTGAAGCAAAACTGACCCAAACATAAAAGACCGGTTTTGGTCGATTTATTGATTTAGTCGGTTTTTAAATATATTTTAAATTAAAATGTTTATTTCTGAATATTTATTTATATTTAAGTTTATTTCTTTTTAGTTTTTATGCAAAATCAAAATATATATTTAAATCAATTAGTTTTTTTATGCAAAACTGTTTTTTTATCAATATATATTTAAATTTATACAAAATTGAATTAAATATTGTACCATTGTATTATATTTGTATTAGTTTTATGTTTTTAGTTTTTATCATAAATAACCAATTTTTTTCAAAATTCAAACAAAACACAAATAAAATATATCAATATTTAACATAAATAAAATAGAAACTAATTAATAATTACTTAAACAGGTTTGATTCAGTTTAATTTTGATTTTTATACCAAATTGTTGATTTATTTTTTTATATAAACCGAAACCGACCGGGCAGATTTGATCGATGTAGTTGTTTTGCAGCCTTATTGCCATCCTGAGATTTTAACATCTAGCGATTCTTGCCGCACTAAGCATTGAATAATTTTTGCGGCAGCAGGATGGATATTAAGTTAGATGGCACTTTTGATTCCCAAGCTCTGTTTTGCCAACTGCGCTATTGATCCTTTGGTAATGTTAGCCATTCACGGCACTCGATTGCCATCTGGTCTGATGAGGGAACGAGGCGCCTGTGAGGCGCCAGGTGTGAGGAGTCATAGCGGCCGAGTGGCCGAGTGAGTGGGGACTGGGGACTTATCAGACATGTTTCGGCAACCCAATAAGCAATTCAAGGTGACCCTCAGCTTCACTTAACAGTTAACACCTTCTTCTTTGAAGTTTAAACTTTGGAGCATTAATACATAAACAAACCGCAATCACCTATTTTCTGACTTTGCCAGGTACTACTATAAAGGAAGCGCAGCTGCTACCAGCCAGAACATTCATGGATTATATTGGGATATGGTTGGTATCCTTTGGAGAGCACTCTCATCATATCAGCCCGTGGGCTGTGGCCGGCCCCACATTTATTTGGAGCTTTCCTCGGCGACGTTAACCGTACAGACTAAGGGTGTTCCCCACGTCAGCTGGGGCCCGCCCCAACCATGTTGCCATGTGGAAGATCCCCGGATTATTTAGAATTTTACTGGTCTACATATATATGTCCTATACATTAGTTGTTGCAATAAATGAGTAGGCTGTACGTGGACCATGGCATGCGCATGCGCCACACGGCCTACACCCCACACCCCACACCTAGTGAAGATTAAGGAAGGGTGTGCCGTTCGGGTATGAGATCGATCCACCCAACCGGAGCCCATTTCTTCCTTGGCCGGACTCAGCCAACGATCCTCTGATGATGATTGATGATGCGTCCTCCCTCCGACCCACCCCCACCCCCCCAGTTCAAATAGCTAGAAAGTTAGCATTAACAGTGAGTGGGATTAGGATGAGATCAGCTGTGATCTGGGTTGGTGAGCAGATGGTGACAGCCCCATTTGCCAATGTTGGTAGTACGTACTAGTAACTAGTTGTGTATGACTCTCACTCTGTATGTGGTGGGGGAGAGAACTTTCAGCTTTTCTATTTTGTGTTGTGCTGTTATCACGAGAAACAGATATTGAATGACCCCCAAACTGAAAGCTTGATAGTTTTTGTGATGGCTCTACAAATCTACTCTCAATACTAGATACGCTCTACAATGGCAGTACGCAATGTGGATGGCAAATTAAAAGAAAACACACCTGTCTCACTCACAACAGCAGTCGATTTAATTTACTTCATCCTAGAGAGAGAGAGAGAGAGAGAAAGGATCATTGAAAATCATCTCCCTTTTCATTCTGCTGCTGGTATTCTTGAGTACACAAGGATCTGTGACCTTGAAGAAGGGTCTGAGACCTCATTGCATCTGAAATAGGAAAACCGGGGAGAGCTGCAGCTGGGAGGAGGGGTACAGGTACAGCACGACTGGTGGCGGCGTTGTAGCGAGCCAGACGGGCTCTAACAATGGCGAGGTCATGTTGGAGCTGAAGCATTTGGGCTTGTAGGAGAGCGATGGCACCTATGCAACCGTAGACAGGGTCCCTGAGCCTCACCTCTGCCTCGTAAGCCAACGAATTGACGGTGTCCTCTCGATGCTCCTCCGGGACCTCTGCAAGTATCTTGCTGACGTTGCTTGCTCCGAAAACCTTGTGGACTCTTGCAAACTTGCGCGCTTCGTGAGCCCGGAAATAAGGCGCAAATATACAATTAGGGCTGCATCTCCTCTTCAGCGATTTGCAGGCTGCACAGGATGAGCTTGAACGGCATTCCTGACCTCCCTTCATCATCATTTCCTTCCTAACAGTTAAATTCTTCCTCCCATTCACACTGCTTTGCTTTCCCTTTGCCATTTCACTTGAAATACCTCACTAGTAAGGTTGAATAATCACCTCCTATCAATCTGGCCTATTAGCTCAGTTGGTTAGAGCGTGGTGCTAATAACGCGAAGGTCGCAGGTTCGAGACCTGCATGGGCCATGTTTAAATTTTGTCTTTTTCCACCAATTACAACACTGAAATTAAAATTGCATAAAATTAAGCAATTTTGAAAAAAAGGAAAACAAATGAACAATCCAATGGACGAGAAGAGCTAAAAAGAGTTATAAATTTGGAGAATAGAAATTCCGTATCCGCTGAAAGAAAACATTTGCCGGGAAGCAGGGACATTTGATGGAGAAAAAGACAAGAAGCTGCAGAACAAGTCAATAATGGAAGGTCCACAGTTAAATTCTGTATAAGCGTAACACAACAACAACAACAACAGTTGTAAAGACGACATGATCGTGGGCGTGGCTAACTTGTATTTTAATGCTTGCCGGCTTTCGAGCCTGTAGGGTAAGGGTTTCCTGCCGCGTGAGGGTTGAGACCTTGAGGCCTTGAGGGAGGGCTGCCATGCCAATTTCTCAAAGGCATCCCAACTGAATGACATTGATATGACCTCCCCCTCTCCCCCTCTCCCCCTCTCCCCTTCCCTTTCTCCCCGATTAACTCTAGCTACCTATATTTGTAATTGTTGTCGCCTTATCGGTTCTCCAGCTTTAGTATCTTTTCCTTGGAACAAGTGCCCTTTTTTGTTTTCTGCTGATAAAAATTAATCATGTGGACGATGCCTGTTGACCTAGACTTGCCAGGTGTCAAAAATTGATGCAACAAAATTCTTTCCTATTTTTCTTTTAACATTTATTTAATAAAAAATAAAACACTACAAAAAAAAATTGTCATTTCACCATTACTAGGAAAAGAAAATAGAAGATAAAGTTGCAAGATATGCAGTTGGAGGAGAGAAAGGGGGTCAATGGGTGTCGTTTTCTAAAATCCAAAGAATTCAAAATAAGATCTTGTGGAAAAGAACTATGATTTTGCAGCATAAATACTAATCATCAACAGTTCTTTTTTTTTCCTGTTTTACACTGTTTGGCAGCACCGCTACCCGTGGGCACTTGCACAAAGAATAAAGTGATACCACGTTTCATCTCGATTCGCTAGAATAGGCAATAATGAGATCACCATTTTAGTAAACGATGCGGAGAAGGGTAGTGACATTGATCCGCAAGAAGCTCAGCGAACTCTTGAAATAGCTGAAGCTAACTTGAGTAGAGCTGAAGTGTCGAATCTTTGTTTTGTTATTTTAACTAGGTTCAAGTCTGACGGGAATAATATTCTACGACTAGCAACTCATTTATTTTCAAACCGACCCATTTACTATCTATTATTTGATTGACTAATCCTTTATATTGGAATGAGTGAAGAGTCAAATGTTTTGGCAATTCCTCATGGGGGGATGAATC